CCATACATCCGTAGTGCCTCGTGATCGAGGTCTGTCCACAGACTCAAAACTTCTGGACTCATCAAAGGATCCTTGAGAAGGCGGTCTTTCTTGAAAGGCAGCAGCCTTGCCTGCTCCAGAGCCAGGTCTTTCAGTGGCTTTCTTCCCAAACCGAACTTTATCATCCAAATCAAGGATCAACATCTCCAGTTCACGTTCTTTTTTATTTATTCTGTCACGCAGCTTTTGCATCTCTCCAGCAGATTCTTGCACCGATTCTTTGTTGGTATTCAGATGTAAGCCTTCCTCAAGTTCCTTTCTTAGAACATTAATTTCCTCCTTCAACATCTTTTCCTCTTCTGTTTCAGGCCTGTGGTAAAAAAGTAGACACAGTTCAATGTGAAGGTGATATGAGATAGATAAGTAAAGCTTCACTTCGTCCAACAGTTTCATGAAAAAATACAATATTTGCAGACTAAGCCACCAACGGCCGCATAGACCTGTACCACCTTTAAATAAAATATTTTCATCTTTCTTTTGTTTAAAAAATAAAAATTTATTCCATAAAACTTAAACTGCACAGCACAAGATAGATAGAGAAGTCTCTCCAAGATCCCAGGTCCAGAAAGAAAAGTAATACACTAGAAGAGAAACCTGATGTTATAATTTCATTTCGTAGTGATTCAACATTCAGTTCCTGTATTCAAATTATAAGCATAAAAACCTACATTTCCTAAACTCTAATCAACATATAATGAATCTCTAAAGGAGTTGGAAAAACTACTCTCATGGTTGATTCTTAGCATCCAATTATTTGACAGCAAAGGTTGGAGAGAACGAGGTGACACGAGAGTTGAAGACAAGTTCGGAGAGGGCAGGGTACGACCTCGAGTCATAACCTTATAAGTCAGGGTTTCAATATGAGGTTCGGCATGTAACTCTAGAGTTAAGTTCCTCTATATGAAAGAAGAAAGCTCAACAAATTTGGAGTCAATCAAATACTTGACGGACGCTCAATGGGGCCGCATGACTGCTCGCCAAAACGACATCTACTCCAAAAAGATTTGAAATGTCTCAAAATGTACTATAAGGAGAGCCATGGTGTCAGCTCTCCACCACCCCTAGGCCCTGTGGCCTAAGCGAGCTACCTTGTAGCACATACGTATGTCATAGCGTGGGTGGCAAGCATTCCAAAACAAATGTCTTAGGCATCTACCTTTGAAATGGGTTTTTCAAGGATAGTATCAGACGACACGGGTGTGCCGACGTTGCACCCTAACCCATGTGTCAGAAGTTGGAATATGTACCCACTATCCGGTACGGAACCTGTCAATGACATGCCATGAACAAGGGGGAGTTCATGCCCCTATGAGAACCCGAATGGATGGATGTTCGAGATGTCTCGATGGACATGTCCGAGCAAGCCAATATGATCGAACTGTCCCGGGACATGGGACGGCATCACGATGCATGGTCGTGTCGCTGGGAACCAAGATAATTACTGAGATGCGATGTTGCACACGAGAGACTTTGGGCTAGAGTAAAGGCAAAGTTGAGCCGAATGACTTTGACCTAGAGTAAAGGCAAAGTGGAGCCGAATGACTTGGACTTAGAGTAAAGGCAAAGTCAAGCCGAATGAATTTGACCTAGAGTAAAGGCAAAGTTAAATCGAATAACTTGGCTTAGTGTAGAGGTAAATCGGCTAGAGTCACAGATGATTGAACATGAACGCACAAGCGGCGTGTGTAGCTAAACAAGCTTGTATTCCGCACAAGTTGTGTTCTATTGGCAAAGGTGAACCTCGCCCAAGGTCCGACGAAGCCACAAAGTCGGGCAAAAAACGTGAAGAGGGCTTATGTTCCCTTTAAGGCTTGTCATGAGCGTGTCAAGATAATGATGCCCCATTGTCGAAGATGTATGACCGTGACACTCTACGTAAAGAAGCAAATGAGTCACAAAGACACATTTTTATCCACCACCTTTTCCCTTCTTATTCTTTTTCGAGCCCTTTCTCTTCAAATATTTGGGCTAGTCTATTTACTTCCTTCGTTTAAAGTGTGGTTCTCCTCCTCTGAAGTCTTCTGAATAACTTCGCTAGTAACAATCATACTATGAAGAGAGTAGGTTGTGACCCTCACGTTGCGACAAGCAAAGTGGCGACCCTCAAGTGGTGCCCATCCAGCCATGCAATGGCCTAGACGTGTGTCATGATGCGACCGAAGAGGACGGTGCATCATCCAACACGCCACACAAAGTGAGCATTGAAGAGAAGACAAGGCATGAGAAAGATAGGGGCAACGAGTAGACACGAGTGTCAGAGATAGGCTTGTTGAAGGGTCGGGTAGGGCCCAGGCCTTAACCTCAAAAGTTGGGATTTCGAAAGGGAATTTGGGCATGTGGTTCTAGAGTCAAGTCCATTCATATGAAATATGAATGCTTGCCAAATTTTGTGTCAATCAGACACCGAACAGATGCTCCTCGACATCGTACGACCATTTGCCAAAATGACGTTTGCCCAAGGAAGATTGAAAATGCCTAAAAATGGGCTATGGGGGGAGGCATGGTGTCAGCTCACACCTAGGCCTTGTGGCCTACGCGAGATACCCTGTGGCACATACGTGTGTCACAGTAAGAACGAGTATAGCGAGACGAGTGTCTTCCTTTGAAATGAATTATTCAAGGACAGTATCAGACGACACGAGTGTGCCGGTATTGTGCTCTAGCCCACGTGTCGGAAGTTGGATTGTGTATCCGCCATCCAGGACATATGCCATAAATGATTTAGCATAAACATAGGAGAGTCCAATGTCCAGTCCAATGAGAGTGAAAGTTCTTTAAGCGAAGTTCATGAATCAAAAGTTGAAAATAAAGGACCCAAACAAACTATATCTAATAGTTCATGGGTTAACAGGATTTAAACCAAAATTCTAACTGACTCCCTATGTCTCTAAACCAAATAAAGGACCCAAACAAACTATATTAGGCAATGACTCCAACACCGAAGTAAACAAGCTGGACATAATTATATGAAATATGTGGTCACTCAAGTTCCCATTCTAAGACGATAGCTAGTCATCAGAAAAAATCAAGTTACACCTAATCCTCAATAGAACAACTCCAGCCAGTTTCACACCGGAAAAGTTTGCCTCCGAGAAGCAAATGACAATCAGAAAACAAAGAAATTGTCCCCAGCAACGAACCATAACAGAGAGATAGAGATTAACAATACTAAAAGTGAAATTAGACCTGTCAACAGCACGATGCTCAAGTTGCAGATCTATCTTTCGCCAATCCTTGCCACGTTCCTCCAGCAAAACCTCCCTAGGTTTGGCATCCCCAAATGGATTGACTTTTGGCCTCGGCTTCACCACATTTTCTACGCCCTGTAATCCTGGACCCTCCGAACGGCTGGATTGAGCACTCGAAGGCCTGCTAGAGTGAGCACTAGTTGGCCTACTGGTTTTTTTGGCCTCAATTTCTGTATCCAGCTTCTTCCAATCCAATCCTTTCTCGGCCAAAACCTCCTCTCTCGGCCTTGCTGCTCCAAAAGGGTTTGGCTTGTTCGTCCTTGTTGCTTCATTTGTTACGACATTACCTTTGGGTGGATCCAACACTAATCGGGGTCGTTCTGTGACACTATCACGTGAACGGCCTCTACCCCATCGATCAGGCTCATTAGCCTCACGATAACCGGAACCGAATGTGGAGGATCTCGATGGAATAGGCTTTTTCTCACGTGCCCAGTTATCGACCTCGTCTGCCCTAGATGCAATTCCACCCACGCCACCGCCTAGCGACCCATACCTATTTTGTCGACCTGAATCCAATGTGGGAGATCTCTTCGTCATTGCCCAATTATCCACCTCGTCAGCCCTCGAAGGTTGATCGAAATTGGAAGCCCTAGGAGATGAGCCCCTGCGTTCCTCATCAAACCCGCCATAAGATCGTCGACCACCACCCCAGGACCCATCGCCATCATCACGGTCTCGAAATCGACCAGCAGACATACCTTGGCGATCATAAGTGGGAAATCCCCCACCAAGCCGGCCAGAACGTACTTCCTCACCAGAGCGGTCTTTTGGACCAGTTGGAAGCCGAATCATCTCCTCCGGGGTCAAGCCCTGGCTGTCCGTTAGCCTACCGCCGGCGCCATGACCCGTCAAGGTCCCCATAGTGAATTCCGACAGCGACATCTTCTTTTTCTTGGGCTTGGTGCTGACGGCTTCCCTAAGGCTAGGGAAATTCTTGGATTCTGCTTGGGAAGCGGCCGCAGCAGCTTGCGCCTCTCGCTCCTCATCCTCAGCACGCTCGGCATCAGCGGCCCAGGCTCCGATTCCACCCCAGGGTTTTGACATTTGTATCTCGTTTGGTTTGGTTTGGTTTGGTTTGGTTGAAGCTCGAGATCCAGAAATCGCAAGTAGTGAAATAGAGGAAGAAGAGAGATCTAGACGAAAAATTGGAGTTTGGTGAATGAGCTAGGCTCCGTTAATGGAGCCGGAGCTCAGAGAACATGCGATGGAAATAGAAAATGGAAACGGTCGTTGAGAGAGAGGAAGAAGGATTTTATAGAACCCCTCTTCGATGCTTTGTAATTGAAATGGATGGAAGAGTGGGGAGATGAGTGGGGGAGTCGTGTGGGCGTGGAGAATATATGGGAGTTTGGTGCCCACGCGCCCGCAGGGAAAGTGATCAAACGGGGCAGAAAAGAAGCAGTGGCCACGTGGACGAGGATCTGTGTTTGCTGACTTCAACCTATTGGACGGTCAGGATGCGTTGTATTCTCCATTCCATCCCTAGCGTACCAATAATTTGGAATCGACGCAGCCTTCACTTCTGCGCCATGGGTTCTCAATTTTAACAACTTTCAATTTCCCATTCAATTTTGAACATATAAAGGCCCCTACCTTAATTCGTCACCGCCATTTTGTGACAATTTTTTAAATATATCTATTTTTCTAAATATTATATTTTCATTATCATATTTTTCTTAACAAGATCAAAACAGAGAGGTTCCATAGCCGCAGCTGATGGTAAACGGAGCAGAGGCATGGGTTTGAAGTGGTGCAGCTACGGTCGACCCTGACATCACTCCAAAAACTCTTTTCCACTCCATTCCTCTCTGCATTTACAGGAAGGTTGACCCTGCCCTTGCCCGGAAGTGCCTCCGCAAGCTCTGAGGCTTCTCGTTGTTGAGATTGAAGACAGCAGCATATACCTCACCTGATATTCTATACATGTTAACCAGCCCACTTACATCCTTGGCCATGGCTGGCGTCGCAGTTTTTCCAGGGGACAGAGAAAACAATATTGGGCGCTCAAGTTGTTTAAGAACCTGTGCATACTTAATGAATTAGCATTGAGCGTATGAGTAACGATTACATGTGTCTGTGACAGAGACAGAAGAGAACATACATCGGATACAAAGCTTATTTGAGGTAAATCCAAATCATCGCCGAAGACACAATCATGTTTCACTGCCAGAAAAAGAATGATCATTTCAGGCTAGTATCAAGATTTCAGGTAATGGCAAGATCTTTTTGGTTCAGACATCTTACTCTAAAGAACAAAATGAAATTCATCACAAATCTAAAACATTTCAAATACTTCGAGAGAGGCATGCAAGCATGTAGAAAGTGAGCTTGCGTTGTGTCAACGACAGTAAACTTACCAAAATCAACACCCCAATCAGCATATTGTTGATAAAGGGACCTAAGAAGGCTTTTGAAGCTCCTGAATCCATGTTCACACTCATGAAACCATTTTTCATCCATCCACAAGTCCTCGACTTGTCCCCTATATCACTTGCAAACCACTTTCTCCCGGATTCTACATAGGCACTTCCCGACCAAGCAATTGAGAACCTTATAATCATTTCTCCCGTGTGTGTTTCAGGGCTGACTATTTACAAATGCTCGTGTAATACAGAAAAATAAGGGATCTAAGTTACCTTTGAAATGTCCAATATAGGCGTATTAGCATTGACTGCCTGTGTACTTATTCCTCTCATGACACGAATTCCAAACCTCAAACCCATATCATGAACTTTCTTAGCTACTTCAGTGAATCCCTTTCCACCTTGCGAGGAAGGCCATCGACTCGGGTCCGGGACCATCCTCCCCCATTCATCAATCACATCGAATCCAAGAGAATCAGCGTAAGCACCAGGAACCTTTCTCCTATACCACAGGTAATCCACAACCACGTACTGCATCCATCAAACAAACGAGAAGATTAATCATCTTACCACCATTTTACCGCATTACATTACAACAAATCTAAAGGAATGCGCACATTAATTAGATCATAAAAGGAGCAATGTTATCGGCACAATTTTCAGTCAGTTACCAAAGCCCTACCTCATATCCCTTAGACTTAAGCCGATTGGCCACAACCTCTGCATTTTTTTGGTATTCTTCTTCAGAAATAATCCAGGAAAATGAATTATAGGAGTTCCAACCTCTCGGCGGGACGGCAGCACGTTCTGTTCCAGTTTGTGAGGACACCCTAAAAAGATTAAAGTTAGTATGCACCATATGATTAGTAAATCCAGAGGCTTCATCCAAACCATAGCCCTAGATGATCCAAAGTTAATGAAGTTCACTACACAACACTAGCTCACAGATGGGCTTCACAGAAAGTTTCAAACCTATCACATCTCTAAATTTGTAGCAACAATAGAGAGGAAGCAACAGAATCCTTTAAACAACACAGAGTTAAAGAGCATATCAGCTATAGTACTGGAAAGAAAAGTGAGAGAAAGGAGAGATTTACGCACCGATTGAATTGAAACACGGAACAGAAGAAGAAGCAAAAGCAGAGAGAGTTGAAGAAGACTTCTTTCATGATGTGAGCCATCTACAGCAATGGCTGTTCTCAACTATCAAATTCAGAATAGACCATGAAACAGAGTTGTTTTTATACTACTAAATTATAAATGTGAATTACAAAAACAATAAAAACCCGTTTAAATAACAATACGCGGAAAGGGTGACACTAGTTTTTCTTTAGTGCATGGATCATTGAGATTAACCATTCTTATCCATATAGAAACAATGAAAAAAAATTCAATTTTTTTTGTTATGGTTGAGGGATTACTCCGTGTCCACAGATAAATTTTTAAACTCTGTGTACTACAACTTTCGATTCAAATCCAAACAAGAAAATACTATTCAAGTCATTTTTGAAACAATACATTATCGGTGTATAAATATTTTTACGGGTAAGACCTATTTTTATTCATTTAGCTTATTTAAAAGGTTTATTCTTATCCTAATCGAAATCCCTATCTTATCACAAAAAATTGTATTATGTTCTTTATTTTGACACTAAATAAGGAATGTTTATTTGTAAGATGATTTATAAGCATTTATCTATACATCAAATTTAATTGACTAAATAAAATTGAAGGTAAAGGCTAATGCAATTGAGTTTAAAAATCGAGAGAGAAAAGGTGTGATTTTGTGCTAATTAAATAAATAAATAATTGAAAGCAAGCACCGAAGCAATCGAGCGATTTGAAGCCTAATTGCATCTTCCATTTGTTGCGAATTGCAAGCAATCTTGGTTGGTGTCGGGTTTGTTCGGATGATCGATGAATTCGGGGACAGTAAGAGTGCGTTTGGTTTTCGAAGAGGGGCACCTACTGAGCAAGCCGCACAGGAAAAATGGACTGAAACGGAGTTGGGTTCTTCTCAAACCCCACCTCCATTCCATTTCCGACTTCTCCTCCTATCTTCTCGACCTTTTCCTTCTTCGCGATGCTTGTCCTCATGGCCTCCTTCTTTCTGTAAGTTTGTTTTTTCTCTCTCGCTTTCTCTGGGTTCTTCTCACTTGCAATTCCCCATGGAGGAGGGGGGAGAGTTGTTTGGTTGTCTTTGATTAGGCACTTCCAGCGATATGCATGCTTAGCTCATCTTTTCCCTCTTGCAGATGGATGGGTTTGTTCTACCACCCTTTGAGCCTACTTCTATTTTGAAGGATGGAGATATTGTTAGGTCAGTTTGTGGGCGATATTTGCTCTTTGAATACTTCGTTTCTATAAGACCAAGTCTCCCAGTTTGCCGTATTGTTCTTCTAACAGGGTGAACAAGAATGAGGACAATGTGATTGCAGTTGAGACGATGGCAGACATGGAGGAGGGGCAACCTGCTGGTCTAGATGTTCAGCTTCTAGCCAACGAGGAGCTTGTGCAGGATTGTACTGACTACAAAAATGAAGCAGATCAAGATGATGAACCTTATGATCTGCTGAATCAGTTGGAAGGCACATTGGATGTGGGAAGCAAAGAGAAAACAGTTTGCAGGAAAAGGAAGGCACTGAAAACAGTTCACAGCTCAAAGTATTTAGTACCAGTCTCTATCAATGCTAAATCTAAAGAATCGTATAGCATTAGATTCTTATATGCAGGCAACATTTCTAGTTCAAATACCATGTTCTTGATGGTGCTTGATCCTCATATCTTGCTTTTGTTTGTGCTAGCTGCTTCAATGTGAATGATGCCATTTATGATTCTAGTCTAATGTAAAACAAGTACTGGGATGTTAGAGCCACGAGTTTGTTGGTTCATGCTGTGATTGTTAAGGGATGGTGAATGATTTGTGTTGTTGTAAACTGGGTTTTGGTTGTTCATTGATAGCATCACATCTTGACTGTGCAACTGCTGTCGATCAATAACAGCCACAATGGTCTTCATGTGATGCCGTCTCATTCTGTTGTAGATACATGACCAATATCCATATGCTAGTTTTAGAGCATTTTTCATTTAGTTTGGCGAAGTTGTACCCTGCATGAACTATCTGATGCTTATTATATTATCCAAATTGTAGGAAGAAGAAAAATAGATTTGCTCCAACTGACAAATGTCTGGCTTCTCCATCAAATCTTCAGCAGTTTCATACAGACCATAATTGTAGATCGCAGCAGGAAGTTTCTCTTTCTGAAAAGAGTCTGGTCGAGAAGCGCAAATCATCCAATGGTCATACTGATACAAACAACAACCAAAAGGTTCGTAAAGTAAGTCTTTTGAGGATGTTATATCATGTCATTGTAGTTGAATTTAAATAAGGAAGGCCTTTCCTTCATAAAAAATCTCCATTTTAAGCATTAAAAGTGATGTTTATTCATTGATCGTTCAGCAGGTACAGCAACGAATAGTTCGAAATAGTAACGGTAAGTTACCTGTTGAGAATTACTTTGAGGACTCTGAACAGCTAGATGGCAGTAGTGTTGATGAAGGAATTATCCCCGTGGAAACTAGACCAGGACATGTTCGTTTTCTGCCTCTTGATCAAGGTCCGTTTGTGTTTCTCATTCTTTCAAAATTCGTGTTACAACTTTATGCTGCTTGGTGCAAGTGCTAACGTGTGTATTTTAATTTGTGTTCGTTCCAGGAGAAGCTAACCAGTTTGTGCGTCCAGCTCAAGCTTCAATGGTATTATCCCTGTGCTTAGAGCTCTTTGCTTTTATAGTCCTTGCAAGTGAAACCAAGTTCTTTGACATTTGAATCGAGTGTTTCAGGACACCGCGCGGTCAAATGGGATAACAATTAAGAATGAAAAAAAATGGGGTAAAGGGAAATCCTCATTTTGGACGAGTAATTGCAACTGTGAAGGAGAAAGTTCCAAGTCACAAGCTAAAAAAGATTTATCAAGTAGGAAATGTCCAATTGACTTCAATGAACTCAGACCTTGTTTGAGCTTGCCTGAGGTTTGTTTTCGATAAGTTTTACATGTTTCTGTGTAAATATTGAATTGTCCTTTCCTAATCTGGAATTAGCTTCTGTTACTTGGATATGTCTAAATTGACCATTATTTGGTGTTGGAATCATCTCAGCTATGAACTTCTATATTGCAGAGAGGTGATATAATTGCATATCGTTTAATTGAATTATCATCGTCATGGACTCCACAACTTTCCTCCTTCAGAGTAATAATTCCTTTGGTTCCCTTTACAATATATTAATATTTTCGATGAGGCCCATAATTATCCTTTGCTCAATCCCTGTTAGGTTGGAAAGGTATCATGGTGTAATCCTGAAGCAAATAAGATTATGATGATTCCTGTTCCAGAATATCCGTTTGTTTTTAAGGCAATGAACGAGGAAGCAGTCAAGCATCCATATGCGGAAGATGGGTCTTTAAAGGTGCTCAAATTAGCCATCATCTATCATCTTTAGTTATGCTGTTCACTTGAAGTGGGAGTTAATCAGATAAGCATATGTGATTGGGGACAATCAAACAAAATTAGATTACACTTGCCAGATGTGTGTTTTCTGTTGTCAGGCTAGGCTCAGCTTCATGATCGATGAACAAGATGGAAAGCACAGCATGGCAGCTGCTAATTGACTCTTTTAATTTATGCAGGCTGATTACTCCTCACTGGTTGACATCAGAATCGTTGAGCATGAAAACTCGCTAGGTTTTGAAGCTGGTGGTGGTGGTAATATTAGTGAAGCATCTTCTTCAAAACAAAGCTGGAGCAAGTGGGAGAAGCATTCCATTGCACCAAAACAAAGCTGGAAGAAGTGGGAAAACGATAGCAGTAAACAATGGGAGAACCAGGGCAGGGCATCAAAACAAAGCTGGAGAAAGAAGTGGGAAAACGATACCAGTAAACGGGGTACAGACGCGACTTGCGTTGTGTGTTAGGAATAAGTAAAGCTGCTTATTTGCTCAACCTTGTGTGTTGTTTTCTGGTGGTTTCAGAAAATGGAAAGGAAAATGCATGGGATGACATTGTCCAGGCTTCCAGCGCGAAGAAAGCTAATTTGTCCAAGGAAGTTGGATGGGGAAGAGGGGAGAAGAAAGCTTGGAAAGGAGCTTCATAATAGTCCATGACAGATACTCCGGTGGGGCCAGTTGATTACCTTTCAATTAAAACCTAATTTTTGTACACTTGCTCTTTAAGAAGTGGGAAGGCTATGGAAGGTAGGCATTTTGTGTGAGCGGTTAGGCTCGGTTCAGGCACAGGATCGACGTAATTTCATTTTGTTGTGGAGAACTTGTGTATGATGATGGAAACAAAATACAAGAATCTATAGCCATTTTGTCTGCTGGAGAAACTTGAATGTTAGAAACAATAAATATACTAAGCAAAGAATGTTGATAAACTGTCCTAATATCCTCTTAACTGCATCCATGTGCTGCACGATTGCTTTGTTTCAGTTATGATTAAAAGGAAAGATCTCCACCCATTCTTTTCTTTTCTTCTTTCCTTTGGCTTCTTTCTTCTAATCTTCCAATGCTCTCATGGCATGACGTTGAGATTCTGATACCAGGCAAACTTGAATGCAGCTCCCCACTTGGCACATGCTTTTATATCACAACATGGATCACAACATGGATCACAACACTTCACTCATGCCTTGTCTTAATCCTATCTTTTTACCTTTATACTAATTTAAACCCCCACTGGAAGCAAGCTAGAAATTCATCACACCTTTTCACCTTTAATCCCTTTTTATCCCTCTATTTAACCTGGTTTCAACTCTAACCCACACTCACCACAATCCTACTCAATTCATACATACTACACTCTATCTTCGCCATTCAACAATGCAAGCCATGGCTGCTGCAGCACCGCGTAAGTCAAGTCTCGTTAAACAAGACCGTCTTCTATTTTCACAACACGCGATGAAAATGCCTTGACCAAGCAAGTTTTGGCCACTCATTCTGAGAAACCCCTCGAGTTGCCTGTCAACCCTTTGCTCGGCCTCGTTGAAAAAATTTTCCTTCGAGCTAAACGCAGTACTCACCAGGCACATACATAACAATTGTTTTCTTGCATATTCATGATTCAAATTGAACCAAACCATCTGTTTGGTCTAGAAGAAAGTTCTGTGCTCACTGATTAAATTTGTCTCCAGAGAACAACACGAGCTCAACTGGAGGCAATCGAAGACCGCTCTCCAGGCCCAACAGACTTGCTGGACTTGCTGAATTTTGTATCGTTCACTATCAATAGAGTTTCCAATGAGGTTGTGTACAGTTTCTTCTTCCTTTTAGGCACACAAGAAGAAGTTCACGTCCTTTCAGAGATTCATTTTGTTTGCTTGTTTTGAATGATCACAGATACGGTACAGGTGTTCAAGAGCTGGGGATACCCATACCGTGACAATGGAAGTGCTCAATTTATTATCAAACTGGCCATGGGATGCTAAGGTGGTGCTAGCCTTGGCTGCATTTGCCATAAACTATGGAGAGTTTTGGTTATTGGCTCAGCAATCCGCAACTGACTTCCTGGCCAAAGACATCTCGCTCCTCAAAGAGATGTTCGAGAGGATCGACATTGTGAAGCAAAAATTTGAAGAAGCTGACAAACTCATCAACACACTCATGGCTGTGGCCAAGTGCATTATTGATTTCACCATGCTTCCTCCCCATTACATTACTCCAGACACGCCTGAAATGAAGAGCGCAACCACTCTTATTCCCACAGCTACTTACTGGACCATCAGAAGCATTGTTGCATGTGCTGCACAGAATGCAGGCCTCGTTGGAGTCGGCCATGAGTATGCCCCACCGTCTCCTACTTTTGGTAATCGAACTTAGCTAACCAACCATTCTTAGTTTCTTCCCTCCAACATTTCATCAGGTATTTAGCATCAGCATCTGAGTCATGGGAGCTGTCTAGTTTGACCCATAAGATCGACAGCATACGGAAGCATCTTGAACAGCTGCTTCGTGCTTGTCATCATTACATAAGTGAGGCTTCTGCAGCTCTCTAAACTTCAATTCTTTCCCTGTTTTTGTTTGTGTTTGTGATTGATTGATACACAGATGAGAAGATGCATCAAGAAGCGTATGCGAACCTGGTCCGACTTTTCGAGATACCCCACATTGACAACTACAAGATTCTGAAGGCTTTGATTTTGTCCAAGGATGATAAGCCGCCCCTCATCGATGGTCAAAGCGAGGAAAAGGTGGGTCCTCACTTTTCCCTTTCCTAACAAACCCGACACATTATAACGAGAATATCAAAAGGACTCCACATATTCTATTTGGGTTTCGAACTTTAACCACAACATCACAGGCTAACCTCGAAGTGCTGCAAAAGAAAAATGTGTTGCTCCTCATCTCTGACCTGGACCTGACCACAGTGTAGCTTTCAATGCTGGAACAAATCTACAGGGACTGTATACACAACAAAAGTAGAGCAGAGAGCGATTACGAGGTGATCTGGATGCCAATTGTGGAGTCCCCATGGACAGATGAGAAACAGAAGAAATTCGAGCGGTTATTGGTGATGATGCCATGGTACTCGGTGGCGCATCCTTCAATGATCGAATCTGCCGCCGTGGAGTACATACGACAGGTATGGAAATTCGTGAAAAGTTCATTATGTTTCGCTGCTGCAACGATTGAGTTAATCCTAGAACGGAAGTTTCCTAATTTAGAGCACTGGAAGAGTTGGAAGAAGAATTTCGAGTCCATCCTTTAGAAGAAAGCGTGGGAGTTCGATGTTTGCAGTGTGGCCTGTTTGTGTAATTCAAGAAATTTAATTCCAGGGATGCATGGAACTGAAGATTCTTTTCCAATTCCGTTACTACGTATCATTCAAATCAAATTTAAATAATACTTTATCTACGTGTTCTTCGTATAAATTACTCAACCCAAACGCTACCGACTTTCTACAGAAGAGCGTAACCTATATACCTAATCGATTCTATTCATAGGCTTTTTCTTGATTTTGTCAGAGATAATTAGTCTTTAACAACCCCTTTCTATGCAGTATATCCCTTCCGTCTTTGAGAGGCATACATTTGAATGTTGAAATTAAACACAGGCAGTGACAACAGCTTTATCAAAGTACAAATTTTGTACCGTTAAGAATGTCCGGTGGGTCGCCATAGCTGGCAATTGCTACACTTTGTTCTGTCAGACTCAAATCAGGGGGATTCCAGACTGGTGCAATGCCGCAAATCTAGCCTAAAATTTTTGGGTAAATCCTGATCCGATTAGGGATCTAAAGGACATTATTTCTGAAGATACTGGGGAGTTCCACCATTAATTTTCTGAAGAACGGTTATTGAAATGTATCTTTCAGAAAACCACTGACCGGCGGAAGTTCTCAGTTTCAGAGAGACAACCAAGGTTTCTATCCATTACATTTAAACTATATATTGGCATTTACCACCATGTACGATTAGATCTCAAGTTGATTCCATTAAGACATCTGTAAACCTACAATTTAGAACTTAACGAATCAAAATCATTTCCACCAATCAGGTCCTATAATTTAAAATAAAAATTGAAAATGACTACAGATAAAATTAATGCAAGTTTCGTCAAAAATTTCGAGACAAAAAAGTGTTTGAGAATTGAAAGTTATAATACGAATCCAAGAAGCTTATTGAAATAACATTAGACCAATAGGAAGGCAAGGATTTTCTTGTAAAAGTAATTGTACCAGGAGACAGGTAGCAGAGTGCAATAGGAATTTACACAACGCTGTTTAATACTGGCAAATTTAAATCAATTTATGCTTCGGAAACATGAACATCCATCATTTGAATCTGAAAGAGTTCACCAGTAAGAAGCAACAATGAAAGAAATTAATTCAACAAGCCAATAAACCCTAGATTCGAAAAACAAATGTCTCAACGTCAAACCAGCAAAACTACAAGTCACAAAACACTCGTATCTTGACTCTTGACTCCGATTCAAACGAAGTCGATTAGGCTTGAAGAGTTGCAGTTAATGTACGCCTTCGTTGACACGTCCATCTGGATATAAAATCCACCGATGAACGCAACGCCTATCAAAGGCGATACAACACCAAAAAGTTTAAAAAAAACATTGCAAGCAAAAGCAAAAATCAATAAGCCAATAGAAACGAGCAGAGAAGAAGAGATTGAAGCCCCCAATAGTTCCGTAATCACAAAACTCCGTGAACAAAGTTCCAACAATGGTCGCAAATGCGGCAGTCAAGAGATACAACTTTAGGGTTTAGGTGCTTTATTTATAGGCAATCGCGGAGCTATGACAAGCGGAAAAAATGGAATTCCGTTGGTGTGCTTGGGCTTCTGGTTTCTCTTGACTAGAATTTCAGATCTGGCCCAATTCAATAATATTGTATTAAAAAAAGTATATATCTTATTCATGCTTACTTTCCTTTTTGTATGTATTTCACATTTTAATCATTTAGTCTTTCAAGTTAAAGCCATTAATTTTAATTCTTTAAAAAAAAATGTTTTTAAAATAATGTCAAAGAAATTTGCCCCCATGCAGGATCGAACTACAGACCTTCAGTTTACAAGACTGACGCTCTACCACTGAGCTATAGGGGCAAGTTGTCGATTTCCTATTTATGATTAAATAAGGTTTAATAATCAATCGCGCGCCGAAAATTGATCAAATGAGGAGATGCATGTAATTTCACCCCAGATTACTTCTCATAGAGATTTAGTCGTCTTCGCATCGCAACACCGTCTACAACTCCTGGCCTTGTTCTCCTGCATTCCTGCGTCGCGTTTTGTCGATCATTCTGCCGAATTATAATCCGTTGAGGCGACGAGCTCTTCAAGCTAAGGGAAGAAGATGGTGAAAGTAGCGACGTTCTTTGCAATGTCATTAGGGGCCTTTGTATTCTGGCAGTCGATGGATAAACTCCATGTTTGGATCGCTCTCCGTCAAGACGAAAAGGTTCTCTTTCGATTTTCCCCCTTCAGATTTCTCCAATTTTCTGGTACTTATAGTTATTTTTTCAATTGATCTCCATTTCTCCATAGAAGAGTAGGAAAACAAAAAACCCTAGGGGGCAAGTCTTCGGCAGCTTAGCTTTGAATGGGATATTTCATATAACTTTTGTTAATTAGAAATTTGTGGTTGATGTTTTGTTGTTGTTTTCTTTTGGCTTGCAGAACATTGGATAAACTGTTTTGAATCTATTTACAATTCTTTTGGAATGTAAATCATAACCATTTATAAGGTATCTCTGTGTTCCACTTTGCTGTTTCAGAAAGAGAGATTGGAAAGGGAAGCAGAGATCAGAAGAGTTAGAGAAGAGCTACTGCAACAAGCGAAACAGAACGACTCTCTTGCTTGATTTTTAACGCTTCTTGACCGGTGGCCTTCCGTCCTCTTTTTTGTTTTTCTGTACTTTCTGTTGCTGTTATCGGTATTGATCGATCAGCTTAGACTCTCCACATTTTATAAGTGTCGGTTGTCCGTTCTACAACAATGATAATGGGGTGGCCTATAAATGGTCGATTACTCATTTCTACACCTTCCCTGCTTATCAAATCGTGAGCAATGCTCATTTCAATATGGAGCTTTGCTTTTTGAATAATTGAAATTCCTGAACTTGACTCCCTGTTGTGTTCTTACCTTGTCTTTGCGATGAGAATCTGTTTGCTTTGGGTTCAAGAGTTATCCAATACCTGTTTTAGTTGAAGAACAGATACCAATGCAGCTACCTAAAGGTTGCTTTTCTTGAGCAAACGTTCCTTGTATGGAGAAAAATTGCATCTGCATCTTGATTCACCTGGAAAAGTTTCTCTATATAATCTTTTAGCTCCTTTTAGATTCTTGTTGAGATAAACGAATACTCATTTTACTGCATGTTTTTTTTAATCCGGTTGTAGTGTTGACATGCTTGCTTGTGTCTTGATCAGTCCCTGTTTTGTTTATCCATGTTAGATGAGAGTTCCTTGTTTCTTGATATCTGTTCATCATTTCATGTAGAATGTGTTCAGAAAGACATCGTTCTTCCAAAGTTGGAATTATTTGGCCATTTTTATTGAAAAATAGAATCATTTTGAACTCTATAAGATTCATTATTTCTAGGTTGAGTTCAAGCTGCCCCATACTGCTGTGGACATTAGGGATTTGATGCAACAGTACTTCCTTAAGACATCTCCACAACCCCTATCTGTAACGCATTTGCTCGGTTCTGTTGATGAGTTGAGATAGGAGAAGAATTATGCAGTTTGTTAATTTCCTAGAAGTTTATTGCATATGAGTTCCTGCTTGCCCTGGAGGGTTGCTGTTATAATCCTATTTGTATGTTGTATGGTGGGCTTTCGTATATCCATATGCAAAAACCTTAATAGTTGTCTCTCGTGTGATGGATTTAGAAGCAAACCATAGAAACCAAACATTTTGCAACCTGCAAGGTGTTAGTTCTGCGCTCCTTTATAACCATTTCATGACTTGCTGACATGGTTTCATTATTCACTGGTGCAAGTATATGAAGGCCATTGGGAGGAACTATTTGACCATATATTCTCCCAAAGTTTTGAGCCTTCAATGTCCATGTCTGCTGCCTAGTAGGGAGGGTGTGTTCTATCTAATACCATGAATATTCAAAATAAAACAGTCTCCATTACATCTTCGTAACTTCTCTTTCTTCTTCCTCAACATGGTAATTACTAACATTATATTGATTAAGTTCATCTGAAGTTCTACTTGAACATATGGATCTCTTGTGAGCATGAGGACTTGGTAATCTATGGATTATATATTCTTGGTTGGTTAATGGTTTAATTATGCTTTTAGTTTGACGTATATGAGGAGAGATTTAAACATTTAACCTCTAGATCAAAAATACATATTAACCAAGGGACTTGTATCACAGGTACGGGTAACACTTGGTATTATTCGTGTATTAGAAGGTTGGAACTCAAATTCTTCCTCTCCTATGTAAGGGATTGAAATGTTTGACATCCAAATTTTTGTATATAAAACTATATACATAATAGACTCCAGCCTAGCATACAAGATAGAATGACGCACAGTAACGGAATTTTCGAAAAATGTGGGGTAGTGGAAAAGGTTGTGATTCAATTAATCTATTTCGCCGTTTTGTGAAAAGATTTCTGTTTTGCATTAAAAGACGGTCGCAATTGGAGGAGGATTCATTCCCAATTCCACACTGCTTCATAACATTTGGGGGATGGGAATATCTCTTCATGTCTCCTACGCATAAAACATTGAACAGAACAAGAAGCATCAACAAACCAAACACCTTCCACTATTTCATATGTGCCACCACCGATAATATATATACATATATACATATATACATATATACATTAGGATAAAATATCAAACTCAGTTTCTACACTTTTTATTAATTTTAAAAATAGTCTCAATATTCAATGTTTTTTTCTTTTACAAAAGTTCAAATTATTATTTAACCCATTTCGAAAGATTTATTGATTTTTTTTTTTTGACAACCGAACGTAGGACTAAAATATAATATTAAAAACGATCGTTTCCAATTCCCGATGAAGAGTTCCCATTCCGATGATGCATAACCATTAGAGTCACCCCTTCCACATTTTCTGGCTAAAAGTTTGAACAATCATAGATGCTTCACTCTCAATCAACCCAAAGCTGTCACACCATGCATGTATATTGAAACATTCAAACAAATTATGAATATGACATAATGTTGATAGTATTTCAAAATCTACATTATCTGTAATGTTGACGCCAAACAAAGAAAATGATTTATCCATAAAGTTTAGAGAATACTCCCCACAACAGCGTTCATAAATAAACAACTCCAAGCTACTAATTAAGCACTAATTGATTTAAAAATAACGACCAAACTAATATTAGCTAAACTACACTAATTACCTAGCACAACAATTCATGTTGGGTGAAATATGGTGGATCAACATAATCATAGAAAAAACACTCGGCACCTAATGGATAAGAGGTACATATGGAGCAAACGCGAACAAATTGTATTGCTGAAAACCTTATCACCATATCATCACCAACGGAAAAAGTGATCAAGTTGGTTTAGTTGGGTTGGGTTCAAATTGATCCAGTTCAATTTCTTGCACCAACGCCATGTCTATATAAGCTGCTAAGACATGCATTGCCAAACCAACTCAAGCAACAGCTTTCTCATCCATATTACTCATATCCCCCTATTGAACTAGCTCTCCAAATCAATATGGCCATTAGCAAATTTATTTTGGTTCCTTTTCTTTTGATTGTTCTAGTTTCAGGATTGGGTGAAAGCTTTGAATTCGATGAGAAGGAGTTGGCGACAGAGGAAAGTCTATGGCGGCTGTATGAGAGGTGGGGTAACCACCACACTATCTCAAGGGGCCTAAAGGAGAAGCATAAACGTTTCAATGTGTTTAAAGAGAACGTGAACCATGTGTTCACTGTGAACCAAATGAACAAACCATACAAGCTGAAGCTGAACAAGTTCGCGGATATGTCCAACTCTGAGTTTGTGAGCTTCTATGCTCGCTCCAATATTAGCCACTACAGGAAGTTACATGGCAAAAGATCAGGTGGATTTATGTATGAGCAGGCTACAGATCTTCCATCATACATCGACTGGAGGGAAAGAGGAGCTGTCAATGACATCAAAGAGCAAGGCAAATGTGGTATAATTTCTAATTCTGGCTAGACAACTCAACACAACGTTTAAGTGTTTTGAGAGTTGTCGCAATTAGATGATGAAAATGTAAAGCATTCGATGTCAATGGAAATCATAAATAACCAATGGATTATGAAATATATTGCAGGTAGCTGTTGGGCGTTTTCAACTGTGGCTGCAGTTGAAGGAATCAACCAAATCAAAACCAACCAGCTATTATCTCTATCAGAGCAGGAGCTGCTCGACTGCAATTTCAGGAACAAAGGCTGTAACGGAGGATTCATGGAGATCGCATTCGATTTCATAAAGAGAAATGGTGGAATCGCCACTGAGAACAACTATCCGTACCACGGCGCAAGAGGATTGTGTCGCTCATCCAGAGTCAGTTTTATAATTCAATTCAACAACACTAAAATATCGCTGATCCTTTCAGAAATGATCAAACTAAGCATCTATTTATTTGGTTTAGCAGATATCTTCACCGACAGTAACAATCGATGGATATGAAAGCGTACCTGAAAACGAGAATGCCCTGATGCAAGCCGTGGCAAACCAACCAGTCTCAGTCGCCATCGACGCCGTGGGAAGAGATTTCCAATTCTACTCGCAGGCAAGTTTGGGGTTCATTCGAGAAATCGATTGGTTGACTATAATAATATCTTCAGGCAATGTTAATCTTAAAAGTGTGGGAAAAGTGCAGGGAGTGTTCGATGGATACTGTGGAACGGAGCTGAATCACGGAGTGGTGGCGATTGGTTACGGAACAACAGAAGAGGGAACAGATTACTGGATGGTGAGGAACTCGTGGGGAGTTGGATGGGGAGAGGAAGGTTACGTAAGGATGAAGCGAGGAGTGGAGAAGGCGGAAGGGCTGTGTGGAATAGTGATGGAAGCCTCTTATCCCATCAAATACTAGCGCTCCAAACCCCCACCCACAACCAGATTACTTCTCAGTCTCCTTCTATCAGAATTAATTAAATATATGTTTGAGGAATTAGTCTTAATGAAAAATAAGAAATTAGTGTGGTCTTCTTAAAACACTCCTTGTTCCATTCATTTCCATACTTCAGTTTTAACTACACAAGGCAATGTGTTAAACTCCTACTCAAATTTCCACACAAACATCAATTAATTAAGATTAAGATTAAGATTAAGATTAAAATTAAAATTAAAATTAAAATTAAAATTAAAATTAAAATTAAAATGAGAGAGAGAGAGAGAGAGAGACAGATTTGACCTTGCCGATTTGATGTATGTAGTAATGAAGTTGGTCAGCTCTGACCTCCCTTCCCTCTTATTAACCTCCTTTAATAAAAGAAAATAAAAATTAAACGCCCTACTAGTCTTGAGCATACAAGCCCCTAAATCAGCACACTCGCACGTTTCCATTAATATAAAAGTAAACGCCAACCATATTTAAACAAAAAACTAATTTAATTAAACATACGATAAATATACTTGAAAAACATGTTTTAAAAATTCTGCAATGGAAAAAAAGAAAAAAAAAAAAAGAGACAGATGTTCCACCTACACGACCTCCAAGACCACCATCCAAATATCAACAAACCCTCACCCCAACCCCATCTCAAATCCCTATGCAAGAGAGAGAGAAACGCCATTTTCATCTCCTTGGTTGAGAGCATAAAATATCAAAGAAACCCCCTTCCATGAGGGAGAGAGAGAGAGAGAGAGAGAGAGAGAGAGAAGTGATGGATAGTCAGTCAAGAAGGTGGGTGGAGGCGAGCCTTGCCTTGTAAGACGGCTCCCGAGCTCCAATGCTACCGTCATTTTGATTTGTGTTTTGTGATTTTTTTTGTACAGTTCGGTGCGGTTGTGTGGTGGGTGGGTGGGTTCACAACACCACATACACACGTTCTCCCCCCACTGCCACACACCCATTACCAATCTTCTGATCTCCTGCTGTTGTCTCCTTCCTCCTCTTTACCATCATCACCTTCCTCCTCTTTACCATCATCACCTTCCTCACACACCACTGCCTCCGATGACTCATCTGTGGTGGTCTCGGTGGCATCACACGGGTGTTCTCCATCACCATCATGCATGTTTCCGGCAACGGGAAGCGGGTCTGTCAATTGAATGCCATCCCGAGGAGGCGAAAACACCACCGGCAACTCATACTGCTCCATTTCGCATGGAAATTTTGAGTTCCTGAAGTGCTCCTTCAGTGCTTCTAAACCCTACACAAAAACAAACAAGCCAAAATAAGCAACTTTTGGAAATTAATTAGCCCAGCCATATGACTATTACCCACCACGCACCTGAAGTCTAGCGTAGGTAACCTGGCAGATCTTTCTGGAGTTGAAGATTTGCCAGGCTTGGAGATGGAAAGCTTTGTACAGTCTCCATGCTCCTTGTGGGGAGGTCATATTCACAAACCCATATCCCACATTGCATTTATTGCTGCAGTTTGGAAAGGAAAATCAAAACATTACAAGGCAATGAACATGTGGTCCAGTAAGATCAACAAAAATGACAGATGAAGAAGGAACATAATCACTCACATGAAGTCAATAGGAAGATATACGAAATCGTAGGAAGACAAAGGAAGGCCCTTTCCATCGTTGCCCATCTCCTCGTTGCACTTCACGCAGTGCTTGTCCAGAGTCTTCAGTAATAACTTCAGACTGCCCATTATATGTTTGTTTCCCCCATTAGTCCATGCCTTATAAGAATAATAATAATAATAATAATAATAATTTCCTTTAAAACAGATCCTACTTTCAGGCCAGTTCAGAAATACTTCTGTCGTTTGCTTCAAAATGGAAACATTTTTTATGCCTCCCTAGAGGTTGACTGACTGCGTTTGAAAACGTTTTTAAACACGAACCAAGGACATTCATGAGCTTGTTTCTATAAAATAGAAATGTACATAGAGAATGATACAGAAAACTCACTTATACTTGTTGGGTATGTTCTTGATCATAACCGTAGTTCTGGAGTCTCTGCAATCGGGTGTTTCTGCATCCATTGCGTTTTCGCTTATTAAGAAACACGGGTCAGATTTCTTCAAGAAGTTGTTCTTCCTCAACCTAAAATTAATCCTAGGTTGAGAAAATGCTCCTTGTTTTGAGCTGGTTGGAGATTGCTTATTGATGATCTTCTTTGCATTTATCCCCTTCGAAGTGTCCACTGAGGCCCCTATTTCAATTCCATTTCCTGTATTTCCACTGCAATTCAATGGCTGCAACTTGTCCATCAGTTCATCTGCATTGTTTAATCTCCGGCCGCTCACATATTGCACCTTCTTGGAGAAAATTTGCGCTTGCGGGTAGAATGGACGATGTGGGTCTTTGAAACGACCAGACAGCTTCGAAGGCCGAGACGAGGTTGACTGCTGGTGGTATCCAGTGTCTAGTGTTCTGGAGGCGACCATGGGATTGAAGAATTTCCGGCCATTGCCCCCAGGACGGCTGAACTCAACGACGACCGGTTTGCCGTGTATTTCCTTACCGTTCATCTCTTTAACGGCCTTAGCGGCATCTCTAACATCAAAATACTCAACGAACCGTTGGTGCTTCTTCAATGGCGTCTCCCTAAATTCCTTCACGGGGCCTTACTCCAAAGAAAAAGGTAATCACTGAAGCGAAATAGGAAAGGGAAACAAAACAAAAACACCCCACCCCCAACGGAAAAAAGAACAACAAAACAATTACTGTACAATCATCATCATGCATCTGACATAGACCATAAAGTAGGGGAAGGAGTTGGCATCAGATATAATAACGAAACCCCCAAAATAATCCCCACCCAAACGAATGGGAAGGAAGAAAAATTACCAAAACGCTCGAAGATTTCCCTGAGAGTAGAAGCGGAGACATCCAACTCCAAATTGAAAATAACGACGGTGCCTTGATTGTTCCAGTCCAATACGGCGGCGTTATTAGTCGGAATAACGAATTCGGCCCACACAGCACAGCCGCCGATTAGGGCACGAGCCAACCGCGGTGGCGTGTCGAAACTGTTCTGCGAAAACCAAGAATGTTGGTTGCGAAGTTGTTTTTGACGCATCGAATGTTGGTTCCGCATCTCTCGAAAGGCCTTTTCTGCATGCCTCAGATCGTAAAAATGAACGGTCAGGATTCCATCCCTGATTCTCTCCATCTGAACCCCTCTCACATCCCCAAACCATTCCAAATCCCTTCGCACCACTGGCTCGCTCACGTCACTAGGCACCGCACTCAGTAACAGCGACCGAGTCGGACACGACGACAACGGCTGAACCTGCGGCACCGCAATTTCCTCCACTGGAGTAACAAACACCGGATCAAAATTAACCGGAAAATTAGGGGAATACGTTATCACAGAATTGCTAAACGGTTCCACTTGCAGTTCGGTCATCGACGGTGGAAACGGAGCACCGAAGGAATAGTAAACATGGCAGACGGGCGGCCCAACAACGGGAGGCAGATTACTGAAGTTTCCGGGTCGGAACTCTCGAGCGGCCGGGTCCAAACTTCTCTGAAGCCGGATGACACCAGTTTCTCCCATGGCCGACTTGAAACTCGTAGCGAACGCCGGCGGACAAAAGCCGAGGTCAGGTAAGCCGTTTTCCGACGGAAACCGGTCGTGTCTCTGTCGTAAGAAACCCTAATAAATTCCGGTAGACAAAAGGAGATGAAGAAGGGTTTGGTTTGGTTTGGTTTGGTATGGTTCGGCTGTTTCCTGTTTCGCCACATCCATTAAGGAGCAGGAATAGGTTGCTAAAAAGAGAGGGATATGGAATGAAAGTGACCTAAGAGGAAAATACGGAAGTACCCTTGAGAGGTATCGAGAAGAAAACGACCATACGAATGTTTAGGAAGGGCAATGAGAGGGACAAAAAGGTAGGAGCGCCACGTATCAACGTCGCGCGTTTGCCGAAGCCGAAGCGAAATAATAATGATAATAATAATAATAATAATAATAATAATAATAATAATGATGTTTCCTTTTTGTTGTTTTTTTCCGTTTATATATAATATTTATTATTTTTTGTTCTCACGGGCACCTCCTCACCTTGTAATTGCTTTATTTATTTCCTTTTTGTTTCTCCTGTTGGTTCGTACATTTATTTAATTTGCCCGACTCCTCGTTTTGGCTCCCTACCCTCTTCAGCTATCAACGCACAAACACGTTGTTAATTTATATTATTTTAATTTTTTAATTAAAACTTTTGAAATTTCAAAATATATAACCGAATAAAAATCTGAAAATAGGAGCATTTTTAGAGAAAGCTGAGAAAAAAAATATTATAAACAGAGTGGGTAGCAATTTAGCATGGTGTGTCTGCATTTGTGTTCCCCATTAACGCTAAGAACGAGAATTATTAAGCGATGGACCCGCGTACTCTCTCTAAAAATCTACGTTGCTTTTGTTCTCCACCCCCACCCTGTTTTCAGGAACTATCTACCACTCATTTAATATTTAATTGGTACTATGCTTCCCACTTCAAATCACCGCATGAACATATAATATGAGTAACACGTAAATGAGTTCATATAACATGCCATGCCAATGCCAATGCCAATGCCAATGCCAATGCCATTTTTCAATTTTGATGATTAAATGAGAATTGAAATGAAATGACCCATGCATGCAAATCCATGCACGTAGCCCTACCTGCTCATTGCAACATAAATATATAATACATATAATCTGGGAGTGCGTAAAACAGAAGGGCCTTCACACCCCTTCTGAAAACGGTGGCACGTAATCCTATGTGCATTAGGCTACGGCTGCTGCATTTTCAATAGCCATTTCTGAACTACTACATTGCTGCAGCCTGCGCCAGCAGCAGCACTCCAGACACAGCTTCCAGCTAGAGGGCGGGAAGGGTACCTTCGTAGCTGCAAAGCCCACCCTAACTAAATGTAACCCTCACTTCCAATTCAACTCCTTCCTATTTACTTACTATTAATATTATTATTATTCTTAACCCATTCAAAATGAAATGAAATAATAGGAGCCTCACTTATTCCCTTTTTTATTAAAATTTCAATTTTCAGGTACAATGGCAAATGGTTATATGAAAGCATCAACAACACACATGGAAACTCTCCTACACTTGGGAGAAGAAATATCCGGCAACCGCTACCAGGGCAGCTACGGCAGACAATTCCACGGCAGAGGCACCGCTCTTGGGAGCTTCGGCGGGGACAGATTCACCTCCAGGAACGCCAGGTCCTCCGATTGGGCCTTCAACCACGTCGTCGCTGCCGTCGGTAGCGTCACCCCCATCAGTGTTTCCTATCTCTTTGTCAGCGCCGGGAGCCAAGAGATCTCCAACGTCGGTGTTATTAGCAGAGCCCTTTGGGGATTCGGCGGGGGACGCTGCGCAGGCAAAGCCGACAAGGGCGAAGAGGAGGAGAGCAAGGACAACAAATTGGCGTGCCATTTTTTAATGCTTCGTTTTGATGAAGAAGGGTATTGACTATTGAATGAAAATGCAGTTCTATGAAATGAAGCGAAGAACTGCAGGAGTGGTGAAGGCGAAGAACTGCAGGAATGGTGAAGGCTTGAGTTGAAAGTACGATGGGAAGGCGTTTATATAATATACGAATCCACCATAATCTCGGTTAGGAATTCGGGATGGTTAGCCTTTGGCGCGAAACAGAAGGCTGCGTATTTTGAGGGAAGCCCCACAAACGCACATTATTTATTATTATTATTTTAAATCTTTGCTATTTTCGCTTAATTTCTGTTCTTTTATTATTTAATTTAATGATTTTATGAAACGAGGTTAGCCGAATTCCAAAATGGTAAGCAGAAGTGGGTCGCGAAGGAGAGGCCCAAAAATCCAAAACCCAAAACGGAAGGGAAGCCCACGAAAGGCGACAGGTGGATTCAATTAGGGCTTTCTGAAAGGAGGGAAGCTCTAAAACCCTCCCGCTATTTCCCCCCCACTCCCAACCACTTCCATTTCCAGTAGCTTCTTAATCCGATCTGGAACGATCTGGAACTTGCTTAATCCGAGAGTGAAGCTGATCTCCTCCAACTCATGGCGCTCGCTTTCGATGAGTTTGGGAGGCCATTTATAATCTTGAAGGAGCAGGAGCAGAAGACCAGATTGAGGGGCCTCGATGCTCAGAAGGCTAATATTGCTTCTGGTAAAGCTGTTGCTCGTATCCTCAGGACCTCGCTCGGTCCTAAGGGCATGGACAAGATGCTCCAGAGTCCTGATGGCGACGTTACAATAAGTTTGTCTCGCTCATTTCCTCTCATTTTCATCTCAACTCTCGTATGTTTCTTGATTCTTACATTCTATCATGGGATCTGAGAATGAGAAGCGCTGTCCGCTGTTTAAATATGGACGTAGCATCGTAAAGGGTTAGTGAGTGGTACTTGAAAGGGGGTGGGGGGCATACTATTATACTCCGCATTAAAAAAAAAAAAAAATCTTCTATAGGTATCTGTACTCGCTGTTCAGGGTCTATAACTTGAGATAATTTTAGTGATTACAGATGAGCTAATAATAATATAGTTAATTGAGGTTTTGTCGATAATTAATGTAAGTTTGATGACTAGGAAATGAGTTAGGACTGTAAACAGAAACGATCGCTAGTGGAAGGTTGTCATTCATTATATTCTGTGGCTTTGATCACTGCCTCGTGTTCGCTCTTCGGCTCTTAATTTGAGTTCCTCCATCACACCCCGTTTGATACGTAGAACACTCACTACTGTTCTTTAAAAGAAAAAAGAAAAGTTGAAAAGGTTTATTTCAGATTTAAAGGAAACCATTTTAGGGCTGGAGCCTGGATATCGTGTCGCGTTTTAGCCGAATAAATTGCATTTTATGCAATTTTTTCTAGACATCATATTTTCCCTTGTGGATTTACTTTGAGCCCTAGGTGAATCAATAGGTGGTATTTTTCGTAAACTTCCGTTTCCCCTTATATTTTTCTTACAATTTTAATTCATGAATAATAATAGCCTCAAATCTGATTCGAAATTCCAATGGCAATGTACTTCATCAACAATCCCATAATTTGCTTTCTTAAGTTCTTGCAACTATTCTTCCTCTTGCTCTCTGGTCCTTTTGATTTTGAAGTTTAACAGCTGATAAAATTGATATTTAAGTTTAACTGATGATAAAATCGATAGTTTGTTCTTTGAAGAATGGGACTTAGGTTGTAACTCCAATAGATTTTGAATACCTGAAGTTACCTCCAAACATCTGTCTGATGTTTTTTTTTTTTTTTTTTTTTTTTTTTTTTTTTTTTTTTTTTTTTTTTTTTTTTTTT